TTCATGTTTATTGTCTTCTGTCGGGTTCTGTTGGCAATGCTCATGCTCAGTCCTTCTGGCGCCTCACCTAAACAGGTACATATTTTAAAAACACTCCCTCCCTTTTCCTCTGCACCTGCAGCCAGATTAATATTCCAGAACCTCAGTTCTCCTCGTGGAGATTTTCCTGCTCAACAGCCTTGACTAAAAACAAAATTGAATCTGAGAAAAGATACAAAACCCAACAACATCGATAAATCAAACCATGAACTGCTTCTTTGTAATAATCAATTAAATAAAAGTTCTAGTGTAATAAAGAGAGAGGAAAAATGGGGGAAAAACATAAATGTAGCAGTGAGAATGAAAGATGGAGTCCAGCTCCAGCTTCAAAGAAACTTAGAACTATTGTCAGCAGATACTACGTGTTACTTGAGGCTAACCGCTTTGAAATTCAGGGAGATAATGAGAGTTTTAGAAAAAGGTATGTTGTACAAATTAGGAGAAAACTTGAAAACACAAATAACTGAACAAAACTGAAGAAAAGTCATCAAAAAACTAGAACTAAGAAAGGTACTGGGCCCCTTTGACTCTAATTGTGATCATATTTAAATGTTTCCGGAAAATGGATAAATATGAAATATAACTTATTTTGTAAAGCATGTACAGCTTTGACAATTAAATCTAAGAAATATAAAATAATAACAACATAGGCCAATATCCTTTATGAATATTGTGACAAACAGCACTAGCTATTTACCAAGTTATCTTCCCTTCCATAATGGAGAGATACTGCTAGAAATGGCTATCCAGCCACAGGATGCCTTTCCCAGCCCTTGTCCTGTCCTCAGGATGGAATGTGAGTGGAAGGCACGTATTCATTTCCAGGTGGAACCTTTTAAATAGGTGCGCAAGCTTTCTCATTCTTTCTTTCCCCTTCACTGGATGTATTTGGAAGGTAATAAGGATTCAGGACAGAGGCTGGTAAACCAAATCCTGAGTTCCTGCTGCCTGTTTTTGTAAATAAAGTTTTATTGGAACACAGCTGTGCCCATGTGCTTACTTATTCCCCATGGCTCCTTTTGCGCTATAGCCTCATAGCTGTGTAGCAGTGGCACAGACGGCCTAAAGTGTTTACTGTCTGGTCCTTTTAAGAAGTGCCACCCTCACTCTAGGGGATGACAAAACAGCAAGGCTGAAGGAGCTGGCCCTGGAGGACTAGGCACGGAGGAGAACCTTTCCCGGACTGTTTATGAACAAGAGATAAACTTCTCTTGCTAAGTGGCTAAAGTTTTGTGGTTTGTTTTGCAACTTGTGTTATCCCAACTAATAATGAAATAGATGCAAAATCTCAAATAAAATACTAGCAATTTCTGAAAAAAAAAAAAAGAAATTACAGAAGTTTTCTTTCCAGAAATTCATGGAAGATTAGGAAAGGTAACAGTAGCACATTACTAGGTTAAATAAGAAAATCTATGTCATCACCTTTTCATACATTTTGGAAGCATTTTCAAAACTCAGAATCCATCTTGCAAACTCCTCTTAGTGGAATGGGAATAAGGAAATACCTCCTTAGAATATCTATTCTATACCAAAAGCTTATATCATATATAAAGGTAAATGACTAGAGAAATTCCCATTTGAGAAAGAAATGAGAATTTTGAGAAACAAAACAAACAAAAATATATGTTATCAAAATAATGTAACATTATAATATGAAACATAACGTTACACAATATAATACTGATTTTGAAGCACTGGCAAGGCACTAATAGCAATAGCATTCTGCTATGTAATATATACATAATTATTAAATTATATGTTAACATAATACAAATTAGATGTGCTTTACATATTTCACATATATAATTTGATATATAAGGTAAGCATTTGTATATGACAGATATTTTATGTAATAAATATATATTATTTGATTTGTATAAGATAGTATATTTTACTTTATAATATATAATTTATATAAATTTGATTTACAAATATAAATGCATGATATATTTATAAATAAAAATATAAAAATATGCGTAATTATATGTTATTTATATATGGCAATACTTTTAGAAATGATATTAATTATATAATATGTTAATGCCATAGTATTGCTTTTCAAATACCAGCCAGTGACCCAAGGCAGAAAAAAAAGGAAGGAGGAAACAAATTTACACATATATGACTGTGCACTGAGGCTACTAAAATGAACTCAGGAACCCCTGGAACTATTACAGATGTCTTCAAAGATACCCAGTTCGAAAATAAATCTGCAAAACCTACTGGTTTTCCAGTTCCCATATGATAGCAATAATCAATATGACTTTACTTAAAAAACAACAACAAACTATCTTTGTTTGAGAGACTTGAATGAGTGGAGAGATAAGACTATATTTTTACCTTGAAAAATTTGTGTATTTTAAACATGTAAATTTACCATAAACTAACTCATAAATTTGCTGCAATTCCAAACAAAATCCTAACAAGACTGAAAACTGATCCTAATTTTCATTTAAAATACACTTGCAAGAGTAGTCAAGAAACATTAGAAAAATGTTACATTACTGACCAATGTAAAGAAACTCGGAAAGACAGACACTAAGACAAATCACCAACTATATCATAAAATGGTGGGAAAACCAAAACTAGACCTGTCTCTTAAACCAAGTACTTAAATAATTTGAGCTACACTGAGGATTTAAATGTAAAAATAAAAGTATACAAATAGTAGAAGACAATCTAGGTGGATCAAGTCTATATTCTTGAGATAGAGAAGTTTTCAATAAAAACAAATTCAGAAACTACAAAGAAAAAGAGAAGGAGGTATTAAAAACTGCAATAGATAAGTTTTCACCCAATGGGCAGGTTGTGAAGGTCACAGCCACAACCCGGACTTTAACCTTAGAAAAGCAATTTATGTAACTTAATTGTATGTACTGTCATACTAACATGAAATAAAAAGAAATAAATGAGTAAGTAAATAAGTAAAATCTGCTATTGGTAAAATTCACTATATACAAAAATCAGAAGACAAAGGACAACCTGATGAAAGGCTGGGTGGTCCCTGTGATGGGGAGGGGGCAGGTTAGCATTTTTTTTCCCAGTATAAATAGTACATACAAAGCGGGGTGAGGACGACACACACTCCCCCAATCCAGTGAGAGGAAAAAAGATGAAAAACCATGACTGCCAGCGGTGTGTAGTCACAAGGGCAAATGCAATCTCACTATCAACCAACGAACGCACATTGAAAGGAGATGGTTGTCCTATCATATAAAATAAATCACAAATTACATGCTTGAAACAGAATGTTTTAAGAAATGATAAGAGATGCCTGATAGAGACTTATTTTTCTGTCTGAGATCTTATCAAAGACAGAGATAGTACACTCTTGAGTACTCTAAGCCAAGTTCAAAGGATATTTAGTGAGGAAGGGAGAGGGAAAAGAGAGAAAGCCACAGTGGAATGATCTGTAAATGGGCACCGAGAGATGGGAACGTTGCCCAGAATTGTTAGTTTCACATTTCTGGGTTCCGAAGGCAAAGTTTATGTGGTCTCTGAAAGGCTGACTGAGAGTGAGATTTTAGAATTTGAGTAAACTTGATGTTCATCTTCATAATAAACTTAGATTTAGATAAAATGCCTACTTTTGATGATGTATCGAAACATTTAAAAATATATTGATTACTAAACTCTATCAATAGTGCTGGGCCTAACTGGAAGAAAGTGAGTTTGCCTATGGGAATGTTACGCTCCCCTTTCTCCTTTTTACCATCGTTTTTCCAGATCCCACCCCAAACCCTCTATGAATAAATTCAGTACTCAGGGCTGTTTGGTTCACAGGTGTCAATTGTTCAAAGTCAGCGAATGATTCTATACCGTTTATGACAGAGGAATGTCACATCTCCTCCTTAAGTGTTTGTACTTTGACCTCAGGGAGCAGGTGAGAGTTGTCACTTCACTGCTGGGAACCTGTGATCTGGTCAGGGTGGGTTTGTCATCCTCTTCTCAGTGAGGTGCAGTGAGTCGGGCAACCGAGCCAGGAGTCCAGGTCCTCTGGATTAGGGTCAGTGCTGTTCCAGATGTACTGGTCCAGCCCTTTTTAAAAGTGGAAGGCTAGGCTGGGAGCGGTGGCTCACGCCTGTAAGCCCAGCACTCTGGGAGGCTGAGGCGGGAGGATCACTTGAATCTGGGAGGCTTTTTTTGTTCATTTTAGAGACAGAGTCTCACTCTGTCACCCTGGGTAGAGTGCTGTGGGGTCATAGCTCACAGTAAGCTCAAATACTTGGGCTTCAGAACTCCTTTTGCCTCAGCCTCTGAGTAGCTGGGATTATCGGAACCCCCCACAATGACTGGTTAGCTTTTCTATTTTTGGTAGAGATGGGTTCTTGCTCTTGCTCAGGCTGATCTTGAACTCCTGAGCTCAAGCACTTCACCCACCTCAGCCTCCCAGAGTGTTGAGCTTGGAAATTTGAGGACCACCTGAGCAAGAGTCCGACCTGATGCTGTAAAAAATATAAAAATTAGCCAGGTGTTGTGGCAGGCACCTGTCATCCTAGCTACTCGGGAGATTGAGGCAGGAGGATGCCCTCAACCCAGGAAGTTAAGGTTTGCTGTGAGCTCGGCTAATGCCACGGCACTCTACCCAGAGCAAGACACTGTATAGGAGGAGGAGGAGGGAGGAGGAAGAGTAGGAGGTCAAGAGTGCTGTGGCCATGGGTCGTGACTCATAAGTGATGGAATCTCAGAGGGGAGTTGTTCTGAGGATTATGCCTGGTCAGGTTCTCAACCTGCCAGAGCTACAGGAGCAAAACTGGCCCATGTCAAGTTGACCCTATAGTGTAGGTGGACAGGAGCTAGAGGAACCCCCAGGCCCTCTGCTTACGAGAAAAGTACCGGGACCACAGCTCTGGCATGACTCTCGTCCAGTGAGAAGCCCTCACCTGCAAAGTCCCTGTGTGTCAGAGCGCAGGCTGCCCTGGGTCTCACAGCACCAGGGGCGTGCTGTTTGCTCTCACTACCTTTTATGGCCTCTTTCACAGCAGAATCCACAGGGAGAATGTTCTTCTCCACCAACTCCAGGGGCCCCGGTCGCAGAGCAATTTTTTCATTGAGATCATCGGCGAGGCGGGCTCTTTTCAGCTTCATCTGCGCAGTTGGAATGGACCTCTCTGCAGTGGAGGCTAAGGGGTTGAAGTGAAAAGGATCAGTTCTAGAATCTGATGTGGGTTTTTTTTTTTTTTTCTTTTTGGCTTGTGGTTACAAACATTGTGTCACATTGTGCTCCACCATCCTAATAATTTTTCAATGCAATCGTCATCACTTCACAAGGATTAGTACCAAAGACTAGACACTTCCAAATAAAGGCAAATAGAGGAGAACACAGAAAAGTTAGAGAAATTTGCCTTGAGAGGATTTGTGAAAAAATGTGCAATTTGGCGGTTTTGGAAGGGAGCAGTCCGTGGGCCCCGAATTGCTTGCCTGACCCTAGCTGAGGCCCTGGATGTACATTCATCTGGTGTGGGGACAGGCGCAGGCTGAGCCCACAGTAAACCTGATCTGTTCTCGTAATGAGTAGCTGCATAACATGTTGAAGAATTTTAGAATAGTCAATGCCGTGATACTGAGTCAAATACCCAGGTCAGCTGTAAGGAAAAAATATTCCTTTGAAACAGTTATTTAATTAAAGAATGGATTTTTTAAAAATAGAATTGTCTTCTTATTTGAGGGTTGGAAAAGCTCATGTGCCCAGCCCTAAATCTATGCCAGTATAGCTGAAACCAAACTTTCTCTTTACCTTGGGCTCTGCCCTATTTCTATGGAAGGACTTAGAGGAGATTCAAGCCAAATAATCCTAAATTAAGTGTCTACAAGAGTTTGAAGCTTCACATTCAAATGTATAAGCGCCTCATGTAGAGTCAACTTTTTAAATTTTGAGACAGAGTCTCACTCTGTCACCCTGGGTAGAGTGCTGGCAGCACAGCTCACAGCAACCAAACTCTTGGGCTTATGTGATCCTCCTGCCTCAGACTCCCGAGTAGCTGGGACTACAGGCACCTGCTACAGTGCCTAGATAGTTTTTCTATTTTTAGTAAAGACAGGGTCTCATTCTTGCAAAGGCTGGTCTCAAACTCCTGAGCTCAAGGGATCCCCTGCTTCAGTCTCCCAGAGTGCCAAGATTACAGGTGTGAGCTGCCACACCTGGCAGAGAGTTAACAATTTTTAATACTTGAGTATCTTTTTTAGTATTTTATATTTATTGTTTGGTCTCTGTTTTTTCTTCCAAGAATCTGACTGTAATTATAGTCTGTGTTAATGTATATATTTCTTTCTTCCCAGAATTGAACTGCAAATACAGTTTTGTCAGCTGCTGTTTTCGCAAAGTGTTCTCTGATAAGCCTTCTCTCATTAAATCATTATTCTGTGACAGCTGTGTTTTCAGTAGCTGGTATACAGTGATGTGGCTGGTGCACAGGTCTTCAGCCAGCCCCCTCTTGTTGACACTTGACTGACAGGTTTCTCATCCGTGTTACTCTACCATCATCAACTTCCTAACCCAGACCTTGTGTCTGGCATTGATCTAGAATTTCCCATGCAGAAGAGGTCTAGGGATGGCTCATCAGTTGCAACAGAGGCTGAGGCTGGACTCTGTGCCTCAGGGTTCTCCGATCCATCCTGCACGCCGAGTCAGGATTCATCACCAGAACATCCTTTTTCTTTTTGTACCTCCCCATGAGACACCCTCCATCATCTAAATCTCACAGTTCAGTATTTCAGGAGTATACTACAAACCGAATCTACCTTCCATCTTGGCCAGTGGTGCTCCAACCCGGATCCAGAGAGCCCGGTCTGTCCTCCCTGCCCCCCACATCACGCTGAGTTCTTCTTTGCCCCTTTGGTTATTACTTCATTTCCCCACCATGAACTGCATCCCCACCCCCACTAACATCCTGCTTCTGGGTCCCAGCATAAAGCCTTCTGATTTCCTCCTGTTCTTACGGATCCCTTTTGCTCTGTCTCCAGCAGCTACAAGCACTAGGCCTTCACCTTGTTGCTTCTGAAATTAGATAATGAATTTCTTAAGGTAGGCATTGAAAGGCCTTTTATAGAATTAATAAAAGGTCATAAGGTGGGTGCTATGATTAAAGGCTTGAAGTCCATAAAGTTATAAGTATGGACGTGTATATATCCATATATATACACATACACATATACACACACTTACATACGCCACAGAGTGGCATTATTCCCTGACTTGCTTTTCTGTAATTGCTTGGGAGCTACAGAGCTGATGCTCATAACAATTCCTTTCTTTCTTTCTTTCAGTCTCTCTATTTCACCCTTAGTAGAGTGCTGTGGCATCACAACTCACAGCAACCCCAAATTCTTGAGCTTAAGGGATTCTCTTGCCTCAGCCTCCCAAGAAGCTGGGACTACAGGTGTTTCCACAACATCTGGCTATTTTTTGGTTGTAGTTGTCATTGTTGTTTGGCAGCCTGGGCTGGGTTTGAACCCACCACCTTCCATGTATGTAGCTGGTTCTCTAGCCACTGAGCTCCAGCTGCCGAGCCCAATTCTTAACTTTCTTCACTGCTACCATGATAACATCACCTTTGTAAAACCTAAAGCTGGTCTTTGAGATATTTTCCAGGCCCTGCATTCCAGTGGACCAAATGACCAAACCAGACCAGTGACCCATACCAAGGATGTAACTTAACTGGTCTTGTGACCCGGGAATTGACTCTATGCAAGAAAATAATTTCTGCTTCCCGACCCTATGAGTTCATCCCTAGCCAATCAGCAGACTTGATTGTCTAGTCCTTTGCCCACTAAACTATTTTTAAAAACCCTGACCCCCAAATTCTCGGGGAGACAGATTTGAGAAATTCCTTTCATTTTCTTGCAAAGCACCCCGTGATATTAAACTCTTTCTGTGCTGTAACCTCTACTATTTTAGTGTATTAGTTTCCAATTTTTTTCCTCTTCTTTGCAGTTTTGGCCAGGGCCAGGCTTGAACCTGCCACCCCTGGTATATGGGGCTGGCGCCCTACTCCTTGAGCCACAGGCACCACCCTATTGGTTTCCATTTGAGCAGTGGCAATGAACCAGGTTGTGTGGCAACAGGGTTATTTTGTATCTAGCAGAGCTTTGGTGCTCCAGGGGGCTAATTTTCAATTTCTTTGGGGGAGAAGCGGGGATCCCATGAAGGCCACCAGAGACATGCAGCTGAGCCAGGGGCTACTGACATTCACATCTTGGTATTTTAATTCAAGACTATAATGATATAAGTAATATCATTTCTTATGCTTTTTGGATTACAGCATCACTATGTACTCATTGTTTTAAATGTGAAAAATGCTAAAACAGTATGCTGAAACAAACAGGAAAGCGTCGGGGACCCCCCATTTAGAGCTTGGGTTTCTGTTCTAGTATCGTATGTGTATTGTTGGGTCTCTGTTTGTGCCTCCAGAATCTGACTGTCACTATGGTATATGTTTATGGATATATTCTTTTCTTCCCAGAATTGAGCTGTAAATATAGTTTTGTTTACTGCTCTTTTCACTAAATGCTATCTTGTAAGCCTTTTCTCCTTAGATCGTTATTCTCTGAGAGCTCTGTTGGTAGGAACTCTGTGGTAACAAATCACAGGGGTGATCGGAATTTTACTCAGCCAACCCCCTCTTGTTGGGCAGGTTACCATTTTCAACATTTCACCACCTAAAGTAATTTCCACAATAAACATCATTGTATGTCCAACTATTTTCTTCAAATAAAATACTAGAAGTTATATGACCAGGCTAAAGGGTAGGCATGTTTCTAAGGAGTCTGATATGTTTGCCAAACTGCCCTCCAGGGGTGCCGACCCAGCTGCACTCCTACCAGCAGCACAGAAGAACGCCCTTGCCACACACGGGATTTGTTTTTATTTGCTAACTTCATCACTGAAAAGTCTGTATCTCATTTGAAATGGCATTTCTCAGATTATTTGTGCAGCTGTGATTTTGTGCTGACACAGCAGTGGCTTAAAGGCTCTAAAACACCATTGCAGAGAGAAGGTGAGAATTTTGCCACCTCCCCTTGAGAGCCTTTATTCCTGTTCCTGAGACACTGAGCAATCCCCCGCTGTCTTCTGCGGGCCCAAGCCTCCCATCCCACACAGCACTTTCCTTGAGATCTACATTGGCCTCTTTCTCTCTCTTCCCTACCCTGAAAACAGTTCTCTGTCTGATAACATCTCACCTGCTCCTGGGTTGGAAAAGGGTCAGCCTTCAAAAGCCAGAATAAAATCAGAATGATGCTGGTCCAAGAACCAAGATTTGAAATTTTCCGTGATATCTCAGGGCATTGCACTCTATGCAGAGCTAGTGTACAGTCTTGCAAGGAAAGCCAGAAAGCCACATTGCAGGGGAGAAGCACCGGGCCTCAGACACGCTCCTCCCTATCACTGCACACCCCTGGGTCTTTCTCCACCTGACTCAGCCTGCACTTTCCAGCTCATTTCCTCGCTCCACATTCTGATTCTCTGATCCTCTCCAGTGCACCCCAGCACCGTGCATTTGCTCTCTTTCCCTCTGGATTGTAAGTGTGATTCTCATGTCCTTTGTTATCCAGTGAGAATCTGATGAGGGCAGAGCCCTGTGCCTAATTTTTCCCTGTACCCACATGGTCTGGCAGAAAAGGCAACTCCTAGCAGATGTGTGGAGCCAACTCCAAACAGTGTGTTCATGAATAAAGACCCCAAACTGTCAAATTAGGGGTCGGACTTCTTTGATGGTTGATACCAATGGATGTGGGGGAGGGGCTTCATCCCAGGAGAAGCAACTCATGAGCAGGAATGGGAGCCCCACCTTCTCATCCACACACTCGAATATGGGGCCACTTGGGGGTCGGCCTCATCTCACAGCCTCCAGCAAAGAGGCAGCATCCTAGCGTGAAACTGAGCCTTCGTTGCTCAGCGCCAGTGTCCTCAGATTTCCTCCCGTGCAGACCAGAGCACAAAGGCATTAGCAACGCACAGTCAGACGGTTCCCCTAGTGGGTGTGCATGCAGCTAAGACCGCTGATCCCATTGAAAGGGGAGCGATGATTCACACTAATAATAACTGGCAACACGTGCTGGGCATTTCCTATGTGCTCTGAGAGGTTACATGATTGTCCCAGGCCTTAGACTTAGGAGAGGGCACAGCTGAGAAGGAAAACCAGTCTCCAGCCCTCTTACGCATCACATGACTTTCCAAGTTGATTGTCTATGCTTAGAGGACTGCTTGAAACCACCATTAATTTGAGAAGGCTTAGCAGCCGTTCAGAGAGTGAGCACTGGACAAATGGCACCCCGTTCGCCAGGTGTCTCCTGGTGATGGTGTGATGATTTTGTGCAGACTTACCTTGGAGTATGTGCATATTAACCAAGTCCGCACGGTCAGACCTGTTTCGGACTCTGTGCTTCAGGGAATTTTCAGTCTGTAAAACCCAAACAAAGAATCACCTAGTTTTACCTTTTTAGAAAAGCACAATTTCTCTCAAAAGGGAAAGAATTTTTTTTTTAAATGACAAATGGGACAAGTGACTACCCTCTGGTCTTCACATTTTGATAAGAAATATTGAGAAAGGCTCTTCCTATAATTTTCATGTGGGAAAATAAGATGAGAAGGTAAAAATTTGGGGTACACATCAAGGCTACAAACTTGAAGGGCTTCCAGGGCCAGGCAGAAAGGCACACCTTAGTAAGATACATTGATGTGACAGTGATACTAGGCAGCTTGTATTACAACCCATCCTAGTTCACTGCCCCTTAAAATGGTCACAAAATTAACCAAGGTCAGATGAAACACCGCCTAAACCTGTCCACTCTAACATGGCAACATCTGCTTCTTTCCAGTTATTTGCCTGATTCCTCTTTTTAGACACGTGAAAATGTAAATCAGCCTGCAGATTCAGACCCATTAGGAGCTGGAAGGCCATTCAGAGATGGATCATTTGCAGTCTCATCGTCTTCCTCATGGGGGAGCTGTGGGAGGGTCAAGACAGGACCTCAGCTTTACAGCGTCTGGCTCTGGGTTTCCGTCTCACTATAATGGATCTCTTATTGAGCCTTTGAGAGGGATCTGGGATCACTCCAGTTCTCAAGGTCTGCTGCTGTTCTTTGTTGATTTCCAGGTAGCAGGAATCACACCCCCTCCTGCCCTCCTTAGAAAAGCTATAGATCCCTGTTCTTCCTCTCTGCCCTCAGACATGTGGCAAGGCTAGAACTCTCAGGCAAAGAAATCCCAGCAGACAGATGTCCTCTCTGCCTTCTTTTCTCACTCACAGTGCTCATGTTTGCTAAACAGTACTTCTATTATTGATAAATTCAGGTTGCAGGGATTTGGCATGAAGGTGCAGAGTAAATGCAAAATCCCCCCCCTCAAATATTAAAAAAAAACAACCCAGAGGGAATTAAGCATAATTCCGTTTGCCATTAACTAGCTGTAAATAAGTTCTCTATCCACAAACCCTGCCTGCCAATGAATTGGATTTAAACAAATCCGATTGCTACTAAGAAAGGATTGTAATAAAACACAAGGCAGCTTGCAGGCCACCTTAACTTCCCTTCTTAAGGTCTTTTTGACCTCTAGTTGCTGTGATTTCCCCCAACATCAGAAAGATTTGGGACAACTTTTTAAAAGTTAAGAAAATAGCAGTTTTAAAGACGGTAGATCTTGCCTCTACAGGTTTTGGTTAACAGGAGTAAGATTCCCTATTATGTGGGGGTAGGGTACCGGCACACTGATCGAGTTTGCTGCAGAAATTTTACATGCTCAGCCAAAGTTTAGCACTCAGGCTGTATGTTGGAAAGGTAGTTTGAAAAAATTACCTTGTCACTCTCCAAACTTTTTCTTTGCTCATGGAATTCAGGTGGACTTTTCAGTGCTGAAACAGAAAGACAAAGACATGAGCAGAGGCTGGGTTAGGGGTGTCGCTCCGAGTTGCAGGGTGTGCTGGGTGCTTGTGGAGCTAGGCACAGTATGGAGGTGATCGCCTTATCAGGCCACAAGCAATCAAAGAGGACAGGCCTGGAGGACACCAGTGGCCCAGAAGCCAGAGGAGACAGAGGAAGGTAGAACTGAGGCTTCAGAGGGAGCAGCAGAGGCAGAATTTGCAACAGGAAGAAAGTGGTGGAGGCAGGGCATTCCGAGTTCCTGAGGAAGCAGAGGGCACAGGAGGAACACTTCTGTTTGGGGGCAATGATAGACTGGGGCAGCTAACACCTCTTTGACTTTGCTCTGCTCTTGAGTGCCCACAGCTGGGTGGATGGTTGTGATCTGTGTATGGGGGTGGGGTGGAGCCATGGCTTATTGCAGGAAGGGACCATACTTTGGATAGAGTACGTGGCCGGTAGGTCAGGAACATGCAACCAAAGGTGTTGAGTGAGAAGCACATAATCAGACTTTGAGGGCTGGAAGGAGCCTTGGAGACAGGGAAGTCATCTAACTCCAACCTTGAACAGAATGGGGAAACTGAGGTCCACAGAAGTGGATTGACTTGCCCAGGGTCTCATAGAGCAGCAGTTGACCCACAGGAACGATATTAAAGGGCTACGACATTGGGAAAGTTAAGAACCACTGTGTTAGAGTAATATTAGAACTCTGGATCATGTGATTTATTAACTTGTCTAGACTTACAAGTCATAGGGGAAAAAAGAATAATGCAATTCTATAATCACTGATTCACCTCATCACTTATTATGAAAAGTGATTATGTGTGGTTCCTGATCGAAATTGTTCCAGAGGACCAAGAAAATTAGTGAAACAGTGGTGAGTGGAGGTGGCATTTGGTCCAAGGCAGTGAAACTGTGATGAGTGGAGGTGGCATTTGGTCCAAGGTGGCATTCGATCCCCATTGCTCTGGGCTGCTATGTGTAACATATGACTGACCCCGGCCTGTGTCTCCTGGCTGTTCACTTGCAAGGTATTAGGGCTGTCAGAGGACCCCTACTCCTAGCTCTAAACAGGTTAATAAATCACATGGTCCAGAGTTCTAAGATTACTCTAACACAGTGGTTCTCAACCTTCCCAATGCCGTGGTACTTTAATACAGTGTCTGTGGGTCAACTGCTGCTCTAACAGAAGCCTACCTTAAGTTGCAGGCAATAAAATATTCTTCCAAATCTTGGCCAGCACAAAAATTAGGTTTCTAGCCAGATCAGGATGTGTGTGTGTATCCATGCACACCCACATGTGTGTGCCTGATTCAGCCCTTAACACCATGCTAATTCTAAACACTGTTTCCAGTGAGGCTTGCTGGATGTCAAGCAGACATGGCTGTGGTCTCGGTGGCTACCAGAGTGCATGGGGGTGGTTGACCATATTATCCTCTACTCGGGATACCGCTTGGGATGTTAGTAAGACATGCTCGCTCTGTCTCCCTGCCTCACACAACATTAGCAATGCTGGCCAAAGGAACACGCAAAGTATTGCCAGATGGCTGCCTTGTCCCAAATATAACTGACAGGTACCCTTCTCCTTGTTTGGACCAGAGAGCAAGAGGTTCCCTTCTTACAGGAAGAAGTGTGCTTGTCATTTCCCACTGATCTGGATACAGATTTTCCAATTTCTCTTTGACTGCCGCTTTCCACTCTTAAAATGTGATTCTCTGCGAAACCAGTCATTGTTGATGGTCCCTTCTCCCCCATCCCCTTTCTCTCTACTCAGTGATTTTCAGAAATAAGCACATACCTCTGCTGTGTTGCTCATGCATTTTCTTTGATTTGGGTCTGGCCACCAACCCTAATGAGGAGGGCCGCCTTTCCCTATATTTGATCACAGGTGGAATTAATGTTGACAGCGTTCTGAAAGGCAGCTCCTATTTCCCCCAGGCAACCAGATTCTGCAAAGAGCGCGTGAAGTCTAGTGGGCTCTTCTGAATATGTACGATCTGTGTGCACCCCGTCCTATTCCCTGGCAATCATTCAGTTAGGTGTTATATATTGGAGTAGCTTAACTACTTACATAATCCAGGAAAGGAATTGATTTTGGTGTGGCCCTATTAAGTGGTTAAGAATAATATCCTTTTCCTTAAGAAGCTCCCCAAAGAAAGCAGTATGAATATGTCTTGAGCTATCTCTTACATTCCAAACACAATTGTTTTTAATTGGGCTTGGGATTTCGGGGGCGTTAATCTGGTTCTCTTATCCCTGAGGTGCAGCCCTTATTACTCAAGCTTATTAATTGTTCTAAGGAACTCTGCAGTTCCTGTATCTTAGCTTTGTAGAACTACAGTTCATCACTTTTTGGTGTTAATGACTCCCCTGAGAAATGATTCACACAGTTTGGTTCTCAGATGCCAGGAGCACAGAGGTCTTCTGGAACCTTCTAACACAGGGTGGGAGAAACTATTCCCATCTAGCAAGGACTTGTGAAGAAAATCAAAGTAGTCCACAAGCTGCATTTTACCTCACGCCTTTCTCCTCAGGGCTTAGGGGTGTTACGTGGGGCACTGGCTTGAGATCACCACCATGGAAAACTACCCTCCATGGCCCCGGGGTTGAAGCTTGCCTGTTCTGTGACTCCAGAGATTGTGGGTTTGAGCCACCTCCCCTGAGAACCCCCAAACCACGATGTGCTTCATTCCCTGGTGGACATCTTGGAAAATACACAAAGGACCACATTGCTCCCAGCCAGCCCTGGGAGTATCTAATGACAACATTTTGTATTTAAAGGACATTGACATTTAAGATTTAAAAAGGAATTTGGATTCTAAATTAAAAAAAAACAAAAAACAAAAACAAGTCCATGCGATTCCAAATGAAAATACTATTGCAAATTCAGTCAGCCACACAGCTAACTTGTTCCCCCTGGAGGAAAATTAATCTCTCCTCACAAGGGAATTCTTCTCGCCTCCCAGTTTTGTTGAGGGCTATTCCTATTTCTGTCCCCAGGGCGCTGGCTAATTTGGGTCAGCTGTGTGTAGAAACATTTGCTTACTTAGGGTTTAGGAGAAGATCCTGAGATAAGAGCAGGCCTCCTGCGGACCCTGCTTTCCATTCTAACCTCATGCCTCCAACAGGATGCCAAGACAAAGGCGAAAATAGCCCACAAGGCCACTAACCTCAGTGAGGGCAGAGGTCCAGCCCCTCAGCACAGGGTAGGGTGCTTTGGTGTAGGGCTCTGGCCAGTGCAGGGCTGTGGGCTGTGCAAGGCCTGAGTCCTCTCAAGGGGACCCCTCACTACCAGGCTTGTAGAGAACCCAGTTCGATTGCTATTGAGAGGACCAAGAGATGGAATCAAAGTCCAGTGTCTCTCAAAGTATGGACCCTGGACCAGCATCCTCAATTGAGGACTCTTCAGAAATCCCAATTGTGGGCCCCAACCCAGACCTACAGAATGGGGAGCTCTCTGTGGGTAGGTAGGACTCAGGGTTCTGTATTTCAACAAAGTCTTCTAGATAATTCTAATCTGCAAGTTTGAGAACCACTTTAGTGGAGTTTCATGAGGCTGGTGGGCCCTCATCTGGGCTTCTTTGCAATGTAGGAGTTCAAAAGGGCCTATATTGCCATGATTGATTTTTAGTATATCAAAAACCTGAAGAGAAAGGGTATGTCTGCCGTAAGACTGTGGGGGCTAATGAAACCACCACTTTTCTGGCTACCACCTGGCATCATAGCAACTTGGTTTAGTTATAACTGTTCTTAGCAAAAAGCAATGGCTGCTAAATTTATACACCAGTGATTACTTTTTAAAAATTGTGCCATTAATTAGTTATATACTAAAAAACAATTAATTAGGCATTATAAAATTAGTTCATTATTAAAAAGATACATGGATTAATAATTAATGTAGGTAGGATTCTTTGGGGGAGCAAAAAAACTACTTCAAGCACAAGACTTATAGCAGTGATGGCTATAAGGGAAGAAGCCCTGGGTAATTAAAAATTTGAGAACTATTTGGGCTGTGTTCTTTCTCTACCATCTGTGTTTCATATAAATCTGAACAAGTCTGATAGTCTTCTGGTGGTCTCAGTTTCCTACTTATCAAAGGGACCCTGTCAAGCTTGTCCTCTCTTTGGCTGGACTTTGGAGACAAATTGGATTGTGAGTGCCTTGTTCTGAGCAAACAGGACACCTGCTACAAATCGTGATGATGACTTGGATATCATATTTTCTCCTTAGGTTGGTGATATATTGCTTATCAGTACCCTAAGGATAGTCCTAGGGGTCTGAAAACAGTGCATTTCCCCACATAGCCTTGTAATATTTAAGGCCTGGTTTGCATACTCGAAGAATTTGATGCTACATATCTGAGGCCTTTAGAATTTCTCAGAAGACGGGTACAGGGACAAAGTATGCCTGTGATTATTGCTTTTCTAGATTCTAAGGACCAGAAGATCAAAACAGGGACTAGAAGATCAAAAGAGAGATGGGGGAAAGAAGGAAGGTAGAATGGTTGACCCGACATCCAAGACACCTTTTCCTATCTCTGAATTTGAGATGTTAGAAAGAAGGGAAGAGGCAGATGGATTAATCCCCTTGTGCCGTGTGCTGCTCAGACAGCCGACAGTGTGTGGCAGGTGCTGTGGGGGAAAAGCCAAGTCAAATGAATGCACTGAGGAAAGGAAGAGAGACTTTGTCCAGTTAACTTCTCAGAACTATCGTGAAGCTGCATGTGGTGTGGGTGCAGGAACTGCCCCGCTCATTCTTCTTGCTATTCACAAGTAGGATAACAGAGTTCAGGGATTTACCAAGACTTTGCAGAAAATATGTGGCTGCTGTAGCTTGGATTAGTCTGCAAAAAAAATAAAGGCAGCACTATTCATAGACAGCTCATTGTTTCTTTAAAATCATTTACATCGATTAAATCATGGACCCAGACTGCCCAGGCATTTCGTTCTGGCCAGGGGTGGCTTTCTCTGAGACCTTGTGGACAGGCAGCAGCCTCTCTGGGGCCTCTAAAATCCATTTTAGTTCTCTGGTCCCATCCACTGTGACTTAAACATTCTCCCCTTTCTCCCCTGGGTTCAACCCCACAGACTCTCTTTGTGGCAGAGGGAGAGGGAGAGAAAAAGAAGTCTTTCCTACAGTTTCCTTGAATACATGCTCTTATGCAGTGACATGAAGTTGTCTAAAATTAATGGGGACAAATAAGGGGAGTGATGTGGGGACTCTGCTAGGCTGTAAGCAGTTTAAGACAGAAGTCATGCCAGACTCTTCTGGGAGGCTGAGGCGGGTAGATTTTTTGAGCTCAGAAGTTCGAGACTGGCCTGAACAAGAGTAAGACCCTCATCTCTAAAACTAGCCAGGCATTGTGATGGGCACCTGTAGTCCCAGCTACTCTGGAGGCTGAGGCAAGAGAATCACTTGAGCCCAAGAGTTTGAGGTTGCTGTGAGCTATGCCACCATGGCACTCTACTAAGGGTGACAAAGTGAAACTCTGTCTCAAAAAAAAAAAAAAAAAAAAGATTTCATGACTATTTTGAAAGTGTAAACTTCACAGCAGATGCTGTAACTTTTCCTGGCCAGAGAATCGTTTTCCAACTGTTTAAAGTTCTTCTAGGGGTTCTGTGCTGGCCTCAGAACCTTGCCCTTTTTGCATCAAGAGATGATGCCTTGAAAAAAAAAAAGAGATGATGGCTTTAAGTTCATTCAAAGCACTGGAAGAGAGAAAATTCTAAATTCAGGGCACGCAAATAAGAATCAAAAAATGCATAAGAGGAGCAATTAAGGAGTATGATAAAAAGGAATTTGTTGCTTGTTGCTCTGGGCTGTTTCCTACTTAGTGGCAACCTCAGAACCTGTAGGCTGCATGCCCCAGAAAAGAAAAGGAAAAAAATTTCAACCCAGTTGGGCCAGTTTCACTAGTCAACTAAAGATGACATGTGATTCAGCTCGTTGGAGTCAGTAGGGGACTCTTCTAGTTTAACCATCAATGTGGGGGGCATCTGAAGTCATATCTGCTGTAGAGCTCAGTCAGTGGGGTTTTTCATTCAGTTTTGGTCATTGTGGTGAACAGAGTATGATGTAGCTATTTTATTAAAACCCAAAGCCATTCAGTTAAAATCACTGGTTTAACCTTGGAATTTTCACACATACTTTTCTTTTTTAATTCCTCAAATTCCAGCTGAATTTTTTTTTGGTCAGAAAATGCTTTATGATAACAATGTAAATACGTTTTTTTTAAGGTCAAGTGGTTCCTTTTGAACATTTCCGAAAAGTGGCCCACACGGGGGTCAGGAGACACAGCGTCCGCTCCTCCGTAGAGGAGGAGGACTATGTTTTTCCAATGGAAAAGACTGAACTTAATGAAAAACTCAAGACTGAGTCTGCCGAAGGATGGCAGATGTTTCTGTTGACCAGTTAAAAATAGCACTGGTACCTGATAATAATCTAAGGATGATTAAAGATTTGCTTGGCCATCAGCCCTGAATTCAGGCAATTTATGACAAGTTTTAAACTTGAGGGGAGGATTGCAACAATTTCAAATGCTATGGATAGAATGAGATTTTATCTTGCATACATGTACATTCTTATAAGTCAAAACTACAGAAAATGGGACCACATTAGATCTGGCTTTGAGACATGGGAAACATCTCTTAGACTTCCTCAACCTGAGTTTCATGAACATTAAAGATAAATGGGGCTTGGGCTAGGTCAGGGGTTTTCCAGCTCTATTCTGAAGAGAACCAGCAACAAGCACTCTAGAGAAAATTCTCAACAGGCTTCTGGAAGGGACAAGGAGAGAACAATAAATGGGACAGAGGCCTCTGCTATTGTATCAGCCAGTGCACGTGTGCAGGTGTGTGTGTGTGTGTATAGTATATAATACAAGATTTCTTTAACAATTAAAAATATTTAAGAATCATAGAATTAGGTGATCGCTGAGAACTATTAGCTTTTCTTCCTTTTTCTCTTCTTTCCTTCTGTTTCGAAAAAAATCTAACAATAGAATGAAGGAGTAAAAACATCCTCGTGTGGGATGCAATGAGTTTTACACTGAATTATAGTTCTCTGTGTTTCTTGTCACCATTTCCCCTAAAATCTTGAACCTTGCTGAAGGGCTACCTTGCACAGTACCCTGGCACAGTACCCTGAATTACAATAAAATTGGCTGAATCAGACTGAACTGAAAAGACCCTGAGACTCTCGACTTTTCTTTGCGTCTCCTGAATGTTTGCGTTTGCATATGTCCTCTTAGGTGCCTAAGAAAAACACTGCTGGGCTCGGCGCCTGTGGCTCAAGCGGCTAGGGCGCCAGCCACATACACCTAAGGTGGCAGGTTCGAATCCCCAGCCCGGGCCCGCCAAACAACGGTGATGGCTGCAGCCAAGGAATGGCCAGGCGTTGTGGCGGGAGCCTGT